ATAAGAAAAAAAAATAAATAAAAACGAACAAAAAAAAAAAAATTTTGAATTTAAAATAAAAAAAAAAAAAAAAAAAAAAAGAACTTTGTAAATCTGTTCGAACCAAAACTTCTCAAATGGCTGTTTTACCTTCACCTGGTTCAAATTCTGCAAACAAAATCTTTTGATTCAAATGATCAAGTGTTCACTAAAGAAACCTGTTTTACATTTCAGGCAATAAAATGTTTATTTTCATATTTAAAAAGGAACGCTAGTGTTTTTTTAATTGCTTTCAATTTGATGTCATTTATTAATAATAGGTGCCAAAAACATCCTGTGGCTGTTACTAAATTCAGACTTGGGCATGACCATTTAATAAAATTAGAAAAAATAAAAGTAAATTGAACAAAATTCTGTTCTAGTTGCTGAAAAGAAACAAAACCTAGTCTAGAAAAAGATGAATATTAAAATGTGGGACACAGTTTGCTGTTGTTTTCTTTTAAATATAGCAAACCTACAAGACTCTTTTGTTTCAACTACACAATAATTGTCTACAGAAATCTGATTGCTTTGCTTATTTCATCAAAATATAATAATAGTTTATTACTTAATGAGCAGATTAAAAAAAGCAACATAGTTTTTGTGATTACAATTATAAAGAAAAATACTAAAACTTTAATGTCCTCCGTTGTAGTTGCAACTTGACAGTTATGGCCCGCGTTACAAAAAGTTTGGACATTCCGGATTCAAAGACAAGATAAAGTCGTGTCTTCACTGTTTCATAGATTACGATGCTTCCAGATTAGATAAGGAACAGGTTGGAGTAAAAGATAAAGAGGGAACGAACATCTGCTGGTGCCGGGCCGCCTCCTCCTTCCAGTGCTCCAGCTCTTCCTCCACGGATCCAAACTGAGGCGCTTCCTGGTCCCCCATCTCCAGCGCGGTCACGGCTCACAGCGGGCGCTTCGTTCCTGCACCGACACGCAGAAACAGAAACAGAGACAGAAATACGTGCCTCACTGTTGGTCAACCATTTATGGTTTCTGTATCCTGGAACAGACAAATAACATTTAATGTAACCAACTGCCTTCAGAAGTTACCCAATTAGTGTACATTTGAATTTCTTTAAATGTTTTATTGTTGCAATTGTTGAAATCTTTGATTAGTGTGGTTCATATGTAGAAAATGTTAAGAAAAGCAAATGTTCTTACAGGGCTGAAATTATGAGATTATGATTAATCGATTATTTAAATAATTGTCGATTTAGTAATTGATTAATGGTTAACTACAGTATACAGACTCAGAAAAAAAGGTAATTTGCTGAAAGGACATACAGAGCACTAAATAGGCCAAATAGGCCAGAAAAATATATACATTTTGAATTTAAAATAAAAATGTTTGTAAATATGTTCTACCCAGAGCTGCTCAAGTGGCAGTTTTAGCTTCACCTAGTTTAAACTCTGAAAAAATAGAAAAAATAAATTTAAAAAAGAGAGAGCTGAAGTTTCGGCATGCTGATGATAGAAGTATTGCATTTTAGACAATAAAATGTTCATATTCTTATTTTAAAAAGGAATTTAATTATTTTCTAATTAGCATCTTTTAAATGAAAAATCTGCAGAATGAACTCTTTTTTAAACCCGACTAAGCATCTTACAAAACATTTATTTAATTAAATGTGGACATGTTTGAGAAACATAACTAAAAATACATACATTTTAAGTAAATATCAAAGTGTAGAGTGATGGTTTTATACAGAACCGTAACACAAAATATGTTTTTTTAGTTAATTTGCCAAAAAAGAAAAATAAAATAAACATTCTTTTGAAATCAATATTAATTTGTGTAATGGAGTAGAAACACTCCAATGTATACTTTCAAATACTAAATTTTGAATAAATTAGATGTGTAAACGTTAAAATGTGACAAGGTAGTATTATACAGGTTTGAAAAAAAAAACAAATCAAATGGTTATTTTGTAAACAATTTCATCTTTTGTTTGAATATTTTAAACAGTAAAAGGCATTTAGCTTCATTTTCTATAATCGTTATTATAGAATTGTCCGTGTTTTCCCATCTTTACATACTAAATGTAAATTAAATACATAACTGATAATGTAATATTTTTTGTATTAGTAGCAAACTAGTGAAGGCTTGTGTCTGTCTGTAACCGAAAATAGATCAGTTTTAGTAAATATGTCTCATTTTTGCCTGGTACTATCAGCAAAAGACCATTTCATTAACTATTCATACGTGGCTTTTCATTTACGGGTTAAGAAAACGCCCAAAACAAACCTGGAATGTTTTGACAACCAAACTTTCTTTCATTGTGGAACATTTATTACTTATTTACATTTGAATCAAACAAATAGAGTTCCGATACAAAGACTGACGCGAGGGTCTAAAAAACGGAACTAACAGAAGACCGAGCTAAACATAACTTCACACCCAGCCTGTTGTTTATGGTAACTAACCTCAACTCTTCGAAATGCGTTTAAAGCCCGAGTATTATCTATAAAACTATGGAAAGCATAACAGAAAAGTTGAAGGAGTAAAACTAAAGTTACCGCTAGCTGATTCGGCTAACGGAGTTTAACCGTTTAAATCCCAGCTGAGACCAACATTGACCCGTTTGCCTCTTAAACTCTACATTATCAAACTAAAACTTCAGCCCAAACCTCATAGAAAAGTCATTTTCGCTATAAACCAGGAGTTCGGTAAAACTTTCGCACAAATCGATGGATTTAGACAAATTTAAACAGACTTACCTTGAGTTGGAAGTCAGAAAGTTACTCGCCGCTTCGGGAAGGCGTCAAACAATAAAAGTTGCCATTCATATTGTTCACGTCAACTGGCCAATCACCAATTAGGTGACGTTCTTGTTCTTTGTCGCTATTGGACGCTCAGAGCTATGGGCGGGCTACAGGGGTCACAGAGTTAGAAATTTCGACGGCTTGCCACACGGTGGTGCTGCTTTCACGTGTAGTTGGAAAACGTATAAACAATACTTGGAAAAATGTTTGCTGTTTTTCTAGAAATCAAAAGAATACATATTCAAAATTACATGAAACCCAAAGGAAAGAAGCTTAGTTCCAAATAACTAAAATGAAATTATGTCAGACTTGAATAGTGCTTAAGTAGGATACTCAAAAATACTCATTCATTAAATCAATCATTTATTTTAAAACATTTTAAAACAGTGCTCATGTTTTCAGTCGGTTTGCATTGTATATCCACAATAAATTGAGACTAATGTTTCCAAGTCTGGCTTTAAAAAACAGTATCCTTGATTGTGATGGAGATGTTCACTTCCTGTTGGTGGGGTCAGAGGTGAATTTGGGTCAGCTGTGTCTTTTCCTGTGGGATTAGACGGGCGTATCTGATCCCAGTTAATCCACATGAGGCATCACCACTCACAAACGCCAGTCCACCAGTCCTGTCTGTCCCTGCCTCATATCTGGGCTGCATGTTTTTCGCATTGAGTCAGCTCCTACAGTGGATTACAGCCATGAGTCCTTGACCTTCACTGATACCAAAGGGATTTCTTTTAAAGACATTGTTCTGTAGGTTAATAAGCTACTACATTTATATGTTTTGCAAGTGACCTCAATGCTAACATTTGGTTTGCTTGGCTCAGCATTTAGTAGTGTAGCTGCTGTCAAGACAACTGCATCTGGTTTATTTTTTATTGTTTGTTGTTGTTTACTTTAAAGTGGCAGTAGTTAGATTTTATTTAATGTGAAACATTAAGTTTAACTGTGAGGTAATTTTATTGAATTTATGTTAAGTGTACATTCAAATGTGGAGGGGGAACTTTTGTTTTTTTCCGCGGACCATGTGTTGCCCAGGGAAGCATTGGCTGGCGCACTTAGAGCCACATGGGGCATTCAAGCTGAAGAAGCTGTAAGAAATTAAGCTTTATTCTTCTGGAGTCAATGAGGCTAATGAGGTAAAGTTTTGTTTATTTGTATCTTTTATTTATGTAAATACGCCATTTATTGTGAACTGATTTAGGTTAACTGATTTAGGTTTGGGGGGACTTTGAGAGATGCGTCCACAATAAATGGGTGTTGAAAACCAAAAACTGCGTTAAGGTTTGATTTAACTCGAGAGGAGTAACAAGGCCGTTGGCAGGAAAGACCTCTTGTAGCAGTCTGTAAGTGAATTTGAAGAAGCCTCTGACTGAAGATACTTTGTTTTCCCAAGATAGTCTCATGAAGAGGATGGCAAGGGTTTTCCAAACCTGTTGAATTTCCTCATTCTCTCTTTCCTCTGCTCTCTTGCAAAATTACAATACAGGAATTCTGATTGATTTTGGATTTTCCCTCCCCCTTTCTAAAAAACAAACAAACTAGTATCTATTACTATAATACACTTACTGTGTATTATTTAAGTTGTACTTTTTTTTAAAAACATCCCAGATGTTTGTGTGTTTCTACTATATACATATTTATTTTTATTTAAATATATATATATATATATTGTACTGGAATGAGAAAGATTACAATGTTTTATTTTTTCAGTTTTGAGAGTTGCTATTTTTAAAATTTTGCTGCATTGACAGTAAATAAATTCAAAAAAAAAAAAAAAAAGTAACCATGGTAAGCGTAACCATGGCAACTGTAGAAATTCCATGTTGAAATACAAGGAAGCTCCTCCCCTTTTCTGAAGAGACTAGTAACCATGGTGATTGCATAACTGAGACGTTCACTCAGTGCCCTTAAATCCCCAGATTGAAATGCAACAAGAACAGCCGACGAAGAAGACGATCTGTCCTGGAAAGCTAGCCGCTTGTTGACGTTGACAGTTTTAACTTGTTTTAGGATCAATTCCGCCATCTTGACAGCATGACAATCTACTTTCAGGTGGCTTAGCGTAGACACAATTTCATCAAATCTCATCGCGACATAATGCCCGGAGCAGGAAGCTGTTGGACCGGTTTATTGGTTACAGGTTACAGTTTCCCTTGAAAAGGAGATAATGAGACTAATAAAATAAATAAATACCCGTCCAATTTTACCCGTATGTTTTCCTTTCTGCTAAAATTCAGCAACAAAAAAACAGTCTTTGAGTCTGGCTCAGGTAAGAACACAATAAGGTATATGGGCTGATGGCAACCAGTCAGACGGTTCAAGTAATAAGGTAGAGTAGCTTCAGATTTCTACAGAAACGGGGGAACTCAGTGTTTGTAGCTGATACATTTGTAGTTTACATTGCAAATAATGGTGAATTACATTATTGCTGTTTTTTTGTTTTGTTTTTTACTTCAAATTGGACAGTTAGTTCACAAAGTGTTCAGTTTTGACCAGAAATATGGGTGAAAAGCCACAGTTTTGTGGTTAAATAAGTAGTTAGACTTAAAGGGAGTTTAATGGGCTAAAAGTCAAAATAAAGAGGAATAGGATGTAAATAAAGGATACTGGGTCTCATTTGGTATTATGACTACTTTTTTACTTTCTGGCATTATAAAGTGATTGCTTTGTTTTATAACACTGAACAGGTTATAACAGATTGAATGCATCCAAGTGACTTTATACAAAGACCCTACTGAATTTGACTATATATTTCTGTTTTTGAAGCATGAGTAAAACTCATGCTGATTTACTCATAAACCTAACTTAATTAGTATATATTTGTTTTATTTTAAGTGAATGTGGCTGTTTTATATTTTAAGTTTATCAGCAAATCACAGAAAATAAGATTTTTACACACCTAAAAATCTGCGGTTGGTTAGATATTTAAAATTTTTTCAAATCCACATTTATCCTTCATGGCCTGTAATCTGCTTTATTCATTGATTATTAACAAATAATCTCCCAATCCTACTTTGAATTCATGAGTATTTTTTGATTTCTGCTTACATTTTCTAAGCTTCATACTTTCCAGATAAAAAACGGATTTTCAAGCATTAAGTTTGTGATCCATGACACAAACTAGAATTTAATCACATGTTTGATGGATTACTGCAGATTATGGCAGTCACATCACCGGGTAAAGGCACAGCTGGTGAAAAACAGAAACTATTAAGCCTTAGAGTTTTTAATTGCGCCCAATTTGTCATTTTGGTTCTCTAGCAGTAAACTCCAATTATTAGACTAAAACCTAATTTCTGGATCAAAGTGTTTGGACATTTTCCCTCATTTGGTCTAAATCGAATCTACTTATGGATTTTTCTGGCTGCCTTATCATAATTCTGCCATTTGCCTTTGTTTTTTTTTAGCTGCCTGACACCAATTTTACTCAATAAACAGTTATTTCTTGACATTCCAGTGGCTCTGTGAAGAAATGGGTTCTTCAATAACTTCATGGAGTTTAATAAAGCTGAAGTCTTATCAGACACTTCCTGTCTGATTTGTTGCTGCATGTGTGCATTTGAGACGGATATAGACGGAAAAATTCAGTTTTCCCTCTGAATTTTATGCCTCTTCCGGGCCAGCCGAGCCTCACGCATCTCCTCTAGAGTTTTCCGGGGGTCCATGATGAAGGCCAGGGCCACGGTGGCGGTGCCGTCGCCGTCCTGCCGGGAGAAACACAGGAAGGAGGCCCAGAGGAAGGCGCAGCAGCCCATGAAGGCGGTCCGCATGTGCAGCGGCATCAGGACAAAGTTCAGAAACTGGAGACGCCATTTAAAGAGAAAAGCGTTAATGAAGTCTAAAATTATCAACTTTTAGGTTTAATACTATTGAGCTAATAAAAATCTAAGATTGTGCTGAGTTGACCTTCAATTAAAGATTTTTCAATATCTGACGGAGTTCAACTGCATTGTGATTGTCGATTAGTAGAAATGAGTAAAGTTCCCAAAAACTGTATTAAAATAATAGTAGCACTACTTTAAAACATTAATACTTAAGTAAAAGTAAATTTGGTATAAAAAAAAACCTCAAGAAACTCATCAGAACATCTGACTTGCGTAATAAAGGTTTAAAATGGTTAATTTTCAGCTTTATTATCTAAACATATTTTTTAGGTTCAGCTAATAAAAACAAGGATTTTATTGTATTAACCTTAACACAATAACCATAATTAAATTCAATATTTGACTGATATCTGTTTTTAAAGCAAACTCAAGAAGTGAAAGCTGTAAAAAGTACATATAAAATACTCTGGATCATTACTGTTGGTCAGTAGAAGTGGGTAAAGTATCCAGTACTACAGTAAGAGTAGTACTACTTTATTATAGTACACTCAAGTAAAAGTTTGCAAAAAAATAATTATTTGGTAAAATAAACAGCTACTCAAGTACAGAGTAGCTGATCATAACATCTAAAAGGTTGTAATCAGATGTAAAAAATATAAAATTAGCAAATTCTCTTATTTTAAAGACGAATACAAATAACTACCATAATTACAAAATAACACATTTTTAGCAACAGACAGTTTTTTATATAAAATTTAAACTACTAAATACATATAAATAAACCTAAACCATTTCAGTTTTCTTATGCAACTGCTTATGAATTAATAAAACAAAATAAAATGTAGTATGTTAATAGTTACCTGCATAAAGGGCCAGTACATGAGTCCAGTCTGGAAAAAATTGTAAAAATTCTTATAAATTAAAATCTTGCAATAATCTCAGTTGATACAATCTCTGGTCAAATACACTGCTCAAAAAAATAAAGGGAACACTCAAATAACACATCCTAGATCTGAATGAATGAAATATTCTCATTGAATACTTTGTTCTGTACAAAGTTGAATGTGCTGACAACAAAATCACACAAAAATCATCAATGGAAATCAAATTTATTAACCAATGGAGGCCTGGATTTGGAGCCACACACAAAATTAAAGTGAAATGTTCCCTTTATTTTTTTGAGCAGTGTATTTTTTACTTAATAAAAACACGAGAGTAAAGGTTCAGCCATATTATAGAAAAAATATAAAATTGCTGATTTATTTTTTATTTCTATGTAAATTAATTTTAAGTAAAGAAAAAGGGAAAATTAGAGAATTAATTCCAGTTTTTGGGAGTTTGCTGCAGCTGAAATCAAATATGTGTTGGCATGTATTTGTATTATTATTGTTTGTATTCATCTCATTTTTCAAATCAAACTTAATTTTATTCCTTGTTTAATCATTTATATGCCTGCGATGTTGTGAAGTTTGCTGTCATCTGAGGTTTCTGTAAATGTGCTAAATAAGTTTTAATTTGACTTGACTAAAGTCAGAAGTTTACATACACCCCAGATAAAAAGCTAAAAGGCCAATCAGAGAGGAAGAAGCCAAAACATTTGACCCAATCCATGCAGTTTAAAAACAATGCTAGAAAATCCTGCGGACATTTGTAAACTTCTGGCTTTCTGATCAGATGAGTTTTTGTTTTTACAGATTTTTACATGACCAGCAGCTAAATGAAGTGCTGCTGTCCTGGATTATGTAACTGCATGCTAACGGGTCGCTAATCTGCGCCAGGATCTCTCCTCCACTGACATTATTATCCGCTGCCTGGTTTGCCCTGCACACTGCGCATCATTAGCAGCACACGGGCGATGTAGGTTAATCTGGCTGCCGGCTGCTAGCGATGTGACCATGTGAGGAAGAGAGGAGGAAGAGGAAGGTGACTTTCTCATATTTTACCCTCCAGGTGTTAAAGAATTTCTCCCTCCAGTCTTCCAGGATGTCTTCCTTTCCTTCCAGGAAGCTCACACCTGCAGGACAGAAGAAAGATTCAGATTACAGCCGATATTACAAATAAAATGTACAGCTTTTTCATGTCAGACTCCAGACCTACAGAGCCTAAAGGGATAAAAAAATAAAGAATACATTTTCTCCTGCGTACCAGATAGCATGGTGTGTGTTAGGGTCATTATAGGTCAGTGGTGCCCAAAGTGGGTCCCTGTGGCCTGCAGGTTTTAGTTCTCTCCCTGGTGGAAGCAGCAACCTCCTCAGCAGGTCCATGTTCTTCTAACGAGCCATGATTTGATCCAGGTGTGTTAAACCAGGGAGAGAACTAAAACATGCAGGATGCCGGGCCTCAGGGACCCACTTTGGGCTCCACTGCTGTAGGTAGAAAAGCAAAGTAAGTTCTGCCAAAAAACTCAGACATTTTTAGATTGATCTCAGGAATTTAAAAAATCTGAGCTACAGAAGTGGAAAATTTGCAAAGATAAATACATAATCAGAAATTAGAAGAAAAATAAACTTTGCGATTTCTGAGCTTCAATTTTTTTAGCTGTTGACAATTTGCTAAAATAACATTTTGATTTTTGGAAATTTGACAACAATTTTAAACAAAATAGTTCCTAGTTTTTTGTGTTTGCTTTTGTTTCTTTGCAGAAAATTTATGAGATTTATCTAAAACATTTTTTAGCATTTTTTCCCAGCAAATTTATGACTTTTGAAACTCAGAAATGTCCTTGTTATTTTTTCATTTTATTTTTTTTCAAGAAAATCCATATTTCAAAAAATGAAATCTTCAAAAACCAAAAATTTGATGAGGGGAGAGAAACTGGCCTCAAGTAAATCAATGGGAGGTTTAGTGGAAGGAAAAACTGTGTAGTAGAAAAAGGTGCTTAAGCAATGTAGCTCCAGCTTTGAAAGAGGATTGTGAAGCAAAATATATTCAAGATGTTAAGGGAGCATTAGAAGATGTTGACTGCACACGCAGATGGGTCCAGGATCATCTGGGCTGAGGAGAACCAGAACCAGACCGATGCTGTTATGTGTCTCTCTGTATGTTATTAATATATTTAACACATATTTTAATTTCATTTTTAAAAATTAAATTACAGAAATAAACTGTACTTAAAAACATAATCTGTCCTTGATTTCTTCCTTCCACTTAACTTTTCATTATGTCATTTGATTCAGCACTTCTGTGGATTAACCTCCTTGGGTTTTCTAACATATGTGTTTTAAATGTTAGGTAAAACATAAATGTTAAGGTCACATAAAAAGTTATGTTATACAACTTTTCTGGAAAAGTGGCTTTGGGATTTTCTGTCCATAATCATCAAAAATTTACAAACACATACACACACACACACACACACACACACACACACACACAAAACTGTTGAAATGTGTCTCTGTCAGTGTTAATAAATTTAACATGAGTTTCAGTTTGTAAGACTGAATTACAGAAATAAACTGTACTCTTGAAACATAAATCCATTCTATCTGTGATTTCTTCCTTCCACTTAACCTTCCAATCCAACTTATTCTGTGGGTTAACCTCCTTGCATTACCTCACATTTATGTTTTAAAAACATGTTTATTATTAGTAATGGTCTTATGTAATACATCTTTTCTGGAGAAGAGGATTTGTGATTTCCTGTCAGTTACTTTCCATAATCATCATCATCATCATCATCATCATCATCATCATCATCATCAACAACAACAACAACAACAAAAACAGTTGAAATGTTTCCATCTGTGTGGTATTAATATACACAAAACACACAAGTTTAATTTTTTAATCTCTCCCTGATGTTTTCCTTCCACTTGACTTTCCAACTAACCCAATTTCTTCTGTGGGTTAATTTCCTTGCGTTATCAAAGTTGTGTTTTTAAGACATTATTTTTTATATTACTGGATATATCTTTTTTTTAACAAATATATCCAAAATATCTCAGTTTGGACGCAATTTGCTGTATGTAAAACATACTTTCCTATTTATTTTAATTAAATTACCATAATAAATAATATTTTTCCTCATGCTTGACTGATTCAGATGCGCCTGTTCCTCACCTGTGTAGAAGACGCTGGTGGCCAAAGGTGACGCAAAGCTTTGGTCCAGCAGCAGTTTGCGGAAAACCATCCCTGCGGATTTTCCGGGGAAGCGTTTCTCCAGAGCTCGCAGCCAGAAGTAGTTAAAGTTTCCCTGGAAGGTGATGGCCACGATGGCCACGTTGCGGGTGTGTTTCCAGTCGATGCGCTCTCTGTGCGCAATCAGCTGATGCGCCAAATCCCCGCCGGCGAACAGGCAGCCGTACAGGGTGACGTTCGCCAGCCAGGGGAAGCGCTTTGCGGCTTCTTTCAGAACAACTTTCCTCATTTTGGCGCTCTCTTGCCAGATTCAGTTCAGTAAAAAAGGCGCAAACATAGCAGCGGAGTTCATCCAGTTTACATACCGTGGCGTCCCCGGTTGACGGTCAGGACGCAATCCATCTGTGCGCGGAAATCTGCGAGGATTATAGCCGAAGTTTCCACCGGAAGCAGGAATATCATTCATTATAAGCTGGTGGTAAACTCAGATTTCTGTTAACAGCACATCCTCTGCGTAATTCAGCCGGAATATCTGCGTAAAATCCGCTATGAAAGCCTCACATGGAGATATTACAGTCTTACCTGCATCAATTAAACCCCTAAAAGTGACTAAAATCTTATTTCCTAACTGTATCCAGGAAGATAAAATAAATCTACATCAGCGTTGGTTCATCTCTGACTGTTTCCGGTCGAGTCAGGTGCACAAATCCTGTGGGTCAAGCTGTAATCTGAGGGATTGTCCCGGTCCATTCAGGGAAGCGCCTAACTGCGTCACCGGGATCAGTTTGCGCAGCTTTGAGAGCCTAAAGGTGGTCAAATCAGAGGCACAACAGTCTTCAAATTATGTAAAAAAAAAAAAAAAGAAAGAAAGAAAATTAAGGCTGCCGCAAACAATTGTTTCAATAATCGAGCATTCTGACGATTAATCGAATTAAAATTGGCACATTCATCAGAATTTTCATTTAAAAACTTAAGCTTATTTTGTACAATATTAGAAATACATAAACATGCAAATAAGCAAATTATTTAACTAATTTTAAAAAAAGTTCTATGTACATATTTACAGACAAAAGATTTTTATTTTTCATCTTAAGTGCAAAATACACATACTTTTCTACACTCTTGGCTTGTTGTTTTTTCATCAAATGCTATGTTTCACAGTCTGTATATTCTCATTAAAGATTAAATAATTACTAAATTAGTTGATTATTATTTCAGTAATAAATTAATCACAACACTTGTTGGAATTAGTGGGGCTGAAGGAATAGAAATGCACATCTCACACTTCAGATTTTTATTCGAAGAAATGTTTGAAAGATACTTTTTTATTTGTTTTGATTGATAGAGGGAATTTAAAGATAAATTACATTCACCGTGAACCGCTAGAGGGCGCTGGCTACTACTAAATCCCAGCTGTGCTTTCAGGAAGTTTATTTCGTACTGCCCAAGTTTAACCTATTTCCTCCTCATTGCTTCAAAGCAAACATACATTTTACAAACATAATTAATTGGTTGGTTTGTAAATCACACAAATTTTAAAAACAATATATTACTATATCGTTTACTTTTACATGTTTGTATTTTTACTGCAATTTTACAAGATACTTTATAAAATTTAACTAAACTAATGAGGTTTTTACATGTGGTACGCTGTTGCTATGACCTAATAATAGCCGTTATAAAGTCAAAACCTAAGATAACTGCAACCAGTTTATCCCGCCTAAATATGAGACTAAAACACTTTTCAAACTACCTTTTGTGTATATATAACTAAACAACCTAAAAAAAATATTAATATTAATTTAAAAACCTTATCGAAAATAAATTTGGCCTTTTATCAACTTATTTCATCAGCTCCAGTTTACTCACAGGGACCGTTTCTTTAAGGCGGGCAGAATTCATCATCTCGTAATTTAATTGGCTGGAATTTCGGTCACTTTGAAGGATCTAGTTTCTGATTGGTTGACTCTCTGAAAGCCTCGGAAGTGTCATTTTTGGACTTGGGCTAAACTTCGGCATATGTGGAGCGGCGCATCGGCGACTCCGAGCTGATCGTTGACAGTTAGGATTAAATGGCGGCCAGAAAACACTGAAACAGGTTTGTTTTGATTTTCTTTTTGTTTCAGAATGGGGTGCATCACCGCAGCTGTTGTTTTCCTCCGGACTTAATGGAGATGTTGTGCTTGCTCTCTCAGCCATGAGCCGAGTTTCATTGTCTTTTTGACCAAAACAAACTAACCGGATCTAAGCTAGTTACTGACCAAATTTTCTATCAAAGAGGCTTTATTTTTATTCTGCAGCACAGATTTAGATCAAAATGCTTTCTTTTAATCTCATTTGGGGGGGAAACATCTCAACTTTTTAGCGAGCACGGTGCTGAAGTTCGTTTGTGATTTGGTGCTTCCGATTGAATAAAGGGCTATTTCACAGTTTTTAAATAATCAGCTGTAGTTCAAAGATCAAATATGAACTTTATTATTGTAAACTGAATTCATATTCTATAAATCGAAATAAAACTATTATTATGTTGTGGACGTTCAAAATTAAACATTTTTCTGGTATTATAGCTGTTTAGACCAGATTTAGCAGAGTGATGCTTGGAAATTAGTGTTGAGACTGGTCATACATTGAATTATTCTAGGCTGAAAATATCTTTATGTGAATTTGGTGACTTGTAAATTGTCTCAAAATAACAGTTTTCAATGTGAATATAATAATTTTTTATGTATCTAGTTTGACTCAAGCAAGTTAATTTTCTAGAAGGATAGCAATAATACTGCACATACTGCAGTATAATAAAGGCTTGATAATGGTAAACAAATGTTGAATAATTCAGTTATTATTTGACTATTTCAAGTAGTTCAGATTTTCAAGGGTTTATTAGGATTGCCCTTTAAATCAGGATCAGATACAGAATTTCACTCAGGTGCGGAATCAGATGCCAACTTCAGATCATCGCATCGTGTTTTTCCATTATAGCTTAAAAAGTAGTGCATTTATTTAAGACTAATTTTGTTGCTAAGTGAACAGATTGTGTGCCGAATTTTTATGAACACATTATTTAAAATAAATATTAGTTGTGCTAGTATTAGGGTGCCACTACTTGCTGAGAGTGGTGCAAAATTAAAAATGCCCAATTTTCTAATGGAATTATGTTCTCTCCGTTTAAGAAAAGGCACCTTTTGAGGTTTACATGAGACAAATGAGGTGCTGTTGAGCTTTAATGTCCTGATCTGAGCGTGGTGGATGGAGGGTTAACTTCACAAATAAGTACAGAAATAAGGAAGTCATTCTGATCGAGTTTAGACATGTTCTCGTGTTATAGTTTCGTCATTGCTGTGCTCTAATAATAATTGTGAGAGTTTGCAGCAGAGTGCTTCTCATAACTCTCCTGTTAGTCAGAGCTTATGCATTTTGTTAAAGGCATGCAGGAGCTGCAGAAAAGACACAAAAACAACAGATAAATTATGGAAGCCATGAAACGAGTTGCAGACTGACCTAAATACTCTGCTGAAAATTTACTCCGTTTACTCCAACAGATGAAACAGAAACCTTTATCCACTTGTTTCTTGTCATCTTTGCATCACGAACACACATAAAAGGTGTTCTGTGAAATGAAAACAAGCCTGAGTTTCTAAGCAGACAAAGAGAGGAGCAGCACATTGTGCAGAGGGTGTATAATTTCAGCTCTTGTTCCTCTGAACGCACTCTGTCAGGAGAAAGAAGCGACAGAACAGTAGTGGGTGTTGTTTATGTCAAAGCCACTGAGCGAGTGCATGCCTGCATATTTCTTTAACCCCATATTTGCATTCATATGAATGTAAACACAGATACTGTGCGAGCTTATTCAGATGTAGAGACGGTTCATTTAGCTTTATTTAGTTACACATTTTTAAAATATTGCAAATACAAACACCTTTCTAAAAGAAACAAAGCATTCGAACCGAACCAGAGTTCACTTCAACCAAACTCAGACCGAGGTTCATTACACATTCACCTCCCAAAGCGAACCTTTCTAGACAAGCCAACCGCAGTTTGATTAAATCAGATTAAACAGGACCGGTGTGAATGAATCCTTGTGAAATCTCATTCTTTTGGTCCCAACCCAAAGCACATGCACTTAAGTGAAGGAGAAACGCAGATCAGTCAGTAAATCAGGAGCTTTGCCTTTCTGTTCAAATCTCTCTTCTCCACGATAAACGGGATCAAACGCCACACCGATCCATCTATCGACCTCCTGCTCCAGTTTCCTGGAGCTGGAGCTGAGATACGTAAACTTCTCCAGTTTGGGTGGCAGGCCTTTGTTTTCAACCCGAAAATGAAGGCATTCTGTTGTTTTCTAGCTCAAGACCTGGATTTTGAGATACTGATTCACTGCTGCTAACCGCTACAGAACTGTGTTATTTCAAAAAAGAGCCAATGTTGAGTCCAGACACCGTTGTGTTTTGGACCAGAATCTCCTCCAAGCCAGATTCAACAGAGGAAGAGTTTTTTGCATCTAACAGTTGATTCAGTCATGATTGATTGGATGTGTTGGTCAACTGCGCCATTTTGACCTGAGAAACTCCATCCATAATCTCCAAAATCAGCAACACACACAGCCTTATTCTGTTGCTGATTGGTTGGACCGTTTTTCAGCTGGTTTTGAAGATGCATGAATGACACGTGTTCTACAGGAGACTTTGCAGACTTTAAAAGGTGAAGTTTGATGCTGCCTGGTGACTTCCTCTTCAGACGCTGTAAAGGAAGCGCGGCCGACCGCAGCGCAGAGCCAGGCAGAGTCGCTGCTTTCACTTCTGGTGATGTAAAAACAGCAGGAGAGGCGATGGAGCGGTTTGAAACTCCACCTGGTGGTTTTCCATCAATGTTCAATGCCGTCGATTCATCTAGAGATTTTTGCCTGTTGATGGTTTAAAATCAAGTTTTCATTCAGTTTCTGAGGTTTTTGCTGGATTTTATTTTCTCGCATTTTTCACAGATTTCCTTTAAAAACATCAAAGATGTCAGGCTGCCTTCCTGCTCACAATGCTGAGTAATTGTTCCTGATTTTTAAAGCTCTAACAGTTATTGACGTTACTTTGTTCCACGTTTTATCATTTTCTGCACAGCCTGTGACTTTGGCATTAACACGAAGCCAAAATAACCAAATAGATTATTTCTGTGACCTTTGATAATGATTTAAAGTTCACAGGAAGCGCTTCATTAACCGACTTTCAGTCTGCAAACTGTAGTCCAGACTGGAAAAGTTTGTTGTGTAAATTTATCACGGTGACTTTAGCAATTGTTACATAAATACCTGCTGAAGTGGCTTTTAAGCGACTGGTGGGTTAGTAGTAGCCAGGTGAAACAGGAAGTGGTTTTGTTGTTGGTACAAACGAGTCAAAATGTTCTGCAGGTTGTTTTTCTCTGGTATATGATGCAGGTCGTTAGAATTCAGATTAAAGACTCAGGATAAGATTTAAAAGATGTTTCTCATCTCCATAGCAACAACAGAAGCATTTCCACAAGAAGTGAAGAATTTTAGAGCAGAGGAAAATCCCTGAGTTCATCGACCGGATGGATGGATGATGGATGGATGGTTGGATGGTTGGATGGATGGATGGATGGATGGATGGTTTTATGGTTGGATGGATGGATAGATGGATGGATGGATGGTTTTATGGTTGGATGGATGGATGGATGGATGGTTTTATGGTTGGATGGATGGTTTTATGGATGGATGGATGGATAGACGGATTGATGGTTTGATGGATGGATGGATGGATGATGGATGGATGGTTTTATGGATGGATGGATGGATGGATGGATGGATGGTTGGATGGATGGATGGATGGATGGATGGTTTTATGGTTGGATGGATGGATAGATGGATGGATGGATGGATGGATGGATGGATGGCTGGATGGATGGATGGATGGATGGATGGATAGATGGATAGATGGATGGATG